TTCATTAAAAAAACCAAACCAAACTAAAACAAAACAACTATGAACTATATAAAGAAACCATTTCAATCTAACCTTTTTGAAACTACCTTACTTTCATTCAGTATTATATATATGATAGATTTCATAAATTTTATAAGCACAGAAATCAGGAGATGCTTTACAATGATGGAATGAACGAATGAATGAATGAATGAAGTACATACGAAGTAGTTGAAAAACACCCCTCCCGCTCCGAAAAAAGTAATCTGTTTTATTCAGATAAACAATTTACTTGATTTCCTTTTATAGAATAAGTAATATATGTGGTTAGTTTAAGGAGCAAGCAAGCGAGCGAGCGAGAGAGAGAGAGGAACAGAAAGTAATTACAATGATTTATAGTTATATAGTGCAATGAATAATCAATAAGCTTTATGTAGTCAGTCAGAATGAATATAGTGACTAGTACACATGTACCTTTGGTATAATGTACTTAATTACAATATGATGAAACTAGAAAGATGTATGAATAATAAACTAGTCGTAATAATACAATACACAATCTTAAATAGAAAGACTAAATGATGGGAATATAGATTGAAAAAGTATTTATGAAAGAATATTGGAATTTTAGTTCTAGATTAAACTAGACAGATTATAAGTCCCTAAATGCCCTAGTACGTTCGCTCTCTTTCTCGAAATACTCTTGCATAGCTACGCATATACGGACACTGACAGGGAATTGCTAATCATTGCCTTTTAGCTGAGAGGATGTTTACGAAATTAAGAGGATGAAAAGCGAATATCTGGTGCATAAACCGGATTGATGGATACAGAGCATCCATCTAAGGAGTTGGAAAACCCTCATTCTAAACCAGTGGTGTAAATGGTCTCCAGGATCCTGAAGAAACAAATCATGTGTCAACCTACTATTGGTTACCGGCTACCATGGGACTATATCTCCTAACGTTGCTCTGCTGCCTTGTTGATTAGACTTTTGATGAAAGGCTTGGGGAGTGGCCCACCAAGGAAATCACCTGTTTCGATTTGGGTATACGGACAGTATTCCAGCCGTCACATAAATCGAATAATGAAGTATGACATTATATATATTTGATGCCTCCTTGTACCAATATTTATGCTTTTAAATAAATGAATAAATACAAGTAGTCAGCACTATGAAATTCGAGTAGAAATCAACAATGGAAGGCATTTGTTATGTTCGTTACTTGATTAACGCGGAATACGGTATATAACTACGGCATTCGAACGTTTAGAACCCCCATAGTCTCAAAACCAAAAGACAGAAAAAAGCTGGATAAGTTTGTTGGGTAACAATCAAGATGTATAGAAAATCATGGGTATTTATAAATAATAGCGTTTGTTATAACATCAATATAATTTAGCCAATCCGTAAAGAGGCAAGTTATGCTACTGTCCAATCGTAGCATGCCACGTTGATATTCTAGAAAACCCTATCAGGTTCTGATTAGATAGAAACTCTTCAGCTCCTTTAAGGCCTCTGGAGGCTCCGTCGTAATTCTTGGAAACTGTTCTAATAGTATTTACATTATTATATTGTCTTATATACTTTACATTGTTATGTTTATCTTTGTTTATTAACCAATCATGTCTTGTTTTAACCGACAATATCATAAAAATGATTTGGACACTGTAATCATCATTTGTCTATTTTGACCATCTCGAATTGAATATATCAACTTCTAATGGTCAAATTCACTTTGTGTTGTTTTACTTGTATCTTCCAATTGTTATTTAGGACTGCAATTGATCAGTCTCATGTTGGCATATGTGAATCCTGTGTGGATTGCCTCGATATAGCCTTAAGTCACAGGACGCGCGTTTCGTCCACTACTAGCCACTACCCATCTTTGCTTAAAAAGCTTCTAATGGTCAGTTTCATGATGAAATACCACTCATTAATAATAAATGATCATAATATTTTAATGGATTATTTCCTAGGAATTAAAAGAGTAAATTTCTATTACAGTAAACTTCTGTGACATTAAACCCGGCTAATTATCACTTAATTTATTCGCCAATCGGAATACGACTTATACAATCTTAGCACTGTGCCAAACCAATGACGTTCGACTGGTATGAGTAGCCTAACAATCTCCACAACCCCAGACTGATAATTACTATGCGCTCACTAGTGGCTAGCTTTGTGAAGGAATTCTTGAAGTTCTAGTAATCAGTAGAGCTAATCCGTGTCAGGTAGAGACAGGTATTTGCGTCAGACAATGGAAGATGTTGACACAAATTTGTGGATTAGTTGATGTTAGACATTAACATCGTTAGATGCCGGTCGGTTCAGTGGTCTAGAGGTTAAGCGTTCGCGCGCGAGACTGAAGGTTCTGAGTTCGAACCTCGCACAGTGGGATCGTGGATGCACACTACTGAGGAGTCCCGTACTGAGACAAATCAGCCGTCCAATACTTCCAGATTTTCTATGGTGATCTAACATTGATCGATTCATGATATCAATCAAAGACTTAACAATCTCCACAATCTCACACTGATACTTCTTAATTGACAATCAAATAAGAAGGCAAACAGCACCAAGGTTAAATTAACTCAGTGTGGTGAATATTCTCAGATCAATCGAAATAAAAGTACCACCGCTACTCTTACCTCATATCCTAGATGAACAATTGGAGTATCATTGAAAACCAAAAAGTACAGGATGGAATGTTCGTGGGTATATGATGCTCTTACACGGTCCGTACCCACGACACCAGTAGAGTGTGTGAATCGCTCGATATTCAGAACTGATTGCAGACCTCGCAGTTAGGTCTGAAACTTCTTGGTTTAATCCCTGTTGGGATGATGTATAGTCAATGCTTAGGACTTGAATGCCAAGATAAAACAGCTGCTCAATGCTCCATGGTTTTATTGATACCCTAACTGAGATCAGTCCGTGGTGAATATTACTTAGTAATTTTGTGTGTGTTAAGAACATTATTCTATAACCACATCTTGTTTCATTTGTACTTTTAATTCAATACAAAATGTTCTTCTCAATTATTCAGTTGACATTAGATGATTGGATGTAGTCACATGCAAATCGAATGGATCTAGGTCAGACAATCATCAAAAAGGTATACTTTTAGTCTTGAAGAAAGTAATGCTTCCTGTAAATTTAAACCTACACCATTCACTGTCACAGATAAAGTCATTACTAGTGAATAGCGATAGTTCGGATAAGTGTTGTGGTTAGCAAAATATTGAACAGTTAGCATTCACAAAAACTGATATATACTTGTTTTTTTCTAACCGAACTATTTCCTACAATTCACTGAAACAAACAATAATGAAAATGAACTCATCAGTACCTAACTCAGGGTTGAATTCTTGACGTTTTTTGAAATGCAAAGATGGATGGTGGCTAACAATGGAATTCAGGATGTACGTTTCATCCTATTTGAGACTCGTCAGCTGGATGTACCTGCATCTCATAGTTGATGATCACTCTAGGGCTCGAAATCAGTAGTGTTCGCTCCAAACGCCATCGCGTTACCATCTTAGCTACTGAGTCCTGTTAGCCACATGCTTATGCAATGGAGTGAAGTTTAAATTCACTTGGTATTGTTAACTTGAATCTTCCCATTGGTGTTTAGGACTGCAAATGATCGGTCTCTTATTAACATATGTGCGTATTGTGCGTACTGCCTCGATATTCCCTTAATTCACAAGCATTATAAACAAAGATGACTATCAGAACTCAGTAGCTAAGTTGGTAACGCGATGGCGTTTGAAACGAACAGAGCCCCAGAGTGATCATTAACCCTGAGATGGAGGTACATCCATCTGATGAGTCCCAAATAAGTTGAAACGTGAGTCCTGAATTTTACTGCTAACCACTATCCATCTTTGCTTATAATGCTTGTGAATTAAAGTTAATTGAAGCAATCCATACGGTATGCATATATGCCAATAAGAGACTGATCAATTGAAGTACTAAACATCAATAGAAAGATTCAAACAAACAATACCAAGTGAATTTAATTGTTTTGAAATGTTATAACCGAGAAGACGAGTGATGGGGTGAAGTTAACCACATCTATAATGAAACAATCATCATTGTTACCAATTAATGTCAATTATTCGAACTAACTGAAATTGGACAGATAGTTACCAAGACGATAATTTTCGGTGTTTCGAACAGTTCTGCATTAGAGCTATACAACTTTTCCTTATTTTTCAAAATGTCTCGTATCTTTAAAGTTACACAATAAAGGAAATCAATTTGTGTAAATCCCTTTTCATTTTCATCTTAAAAAAGGGAACAGAAAACTAAATTCAACAAATGACTAGTTTTCACACACAAATATCTAACTATCCCTTCACTATAATTTCACAGTATCTTTTCTCTTTTCCATTCTTATTTTTTCTTTTTTACATAATCAACATGAATATACAGACACAACTACACACACACACACACACACACACTAAGGAATTCACTAAACTTCATGTTGTTTCTATAGTTTCAAATTAAAGTTCCAACATTCATTGAAGAATAATTCACTTGATATTATTGTCTTTTACTTGAATCTTCCCATTGATGTTTTAGGACTGAAATTGATCAGTCTCTTATTGGCATATGTGTATACTGTGCGTATTGCTTCGATATTGCCTTCATTTACAAGCATTATTATTGGCAAAGATGGATAGTAGCTAACAGTGAAGAATATTCAATATGACATAGTGTTATATTCAATTGAACATTTCGATTTCATACAATAATAAAAAGGAAAAAGAAGAAAAAGAAGAAGTTAAAATAGTATCCAACGTACACATTTTATTGATTCATCTTATGTATGTACGTGCATATGTGTGCGTATGTGTGTGTGTGTGTGAGTGTATGTGGGAATTAAAGGTATATGTGCGTACATGCAAGTATTAATTTTCTTGAATATTAAATTTTAAGGGGAGATATGCGTAGGTGGTAACTATTACTTTTCATTCAATTGGTTTCTATCTATATCCTTTTTCATTATGGATAATCTTTATAAATACTTGAATATATATATATATATATTCGATTCATCTTCAAAGTTTCACAGTTCATTTAAACACAGTTACAACAACACCACGAACAACAACAACAACAACAACAAGAGAATGACAACTGATTTACCTGAAGTAACTGGTGGTCCAATATGGTTACGTAAAATGCGTACATTATTTCGTCGTCTTGATTCATGTGGACATGGTTATTTAATGATTGATGATTTATTAGATATTGGTACAACAATATTTAATATTTATCCTAAAATGTTATCATATAAATATGATGAATTAGTTAAAACATTAGTTTATTTATGGTATCAAGTATTATGTACTCATGTATCTAGGCAATTAGCAACTACAATAAATATTAATGAAAATACATTTATTGATAATTTATTAAATGCATTTCATAATGATTTTTATCAATATTTTAATGAAAAATTTATTCTACCATTATTTGTTGCTATGGATCAAGATGATGATAATTATATAACAAGTACAGAATTTCAAACATTAATGATTGCATGGAAATCAATACCAAAAGATTGTGAATTAATATTTCGTTACTATAGTGATAAAAATAATAAATTAAATAAAGAAAATTTTCAAAAAATTTTTATTGATTATTTTATGTCAGATAATATAAATAGTAATATAATAAAATTATGGGGACCATTAATTAATTATAAACGTGCTGAAGATTATGGTACTATAGATTGTGGTCCTGTATGGGAAGGTAAAATACGTACTATGTATAGACGTTTAGATATAAATGAAACAATGAAATTAAAATGTCATGATTTATTACAAATTGGACAATTTTTAATACAACGTACACATTTAGATAGACGACGTGCTGATGCTGTAATGCGGTCTATGTTAAATATATGGGTGAAATTTTTGGCTATAGATAAAAATGGTAAGTCTCTATTGATTTGTTCTTGTTGTTGTTGTGTGTTTTTAAATTTGATCTCTGATCAATATGTTATATTATTGATTGAACAATCGTCCTAGATACAAATGAATTAACGGATTTGGATAATATGGGTAAGATTATACCAACTGGTTGGTAACCATATGAAGTTTAAAACACATTGGTTCTTGTCTAATCACTTTAGTTAAGCAACGTTGGGTTTGGTCAGTACTTACCCCCTTAAATAGCTTAGTACGACTGAGAGTGAAGAGAGTCAGCTCTCCTTCTTGAAATACTCTCATATGTCTATGCGTATTTGGGAACTGACGAAGAAATGCTACTCACTACCTTCTTGTGGAACTTCGCCTGGAGTCCCTCCGTGGGCTACTTCCAGTCCCAAGCTCGGATAAAGGAGGAGCGTTGGACATGGGGTTAGCGACCCGATCTCGTAGAAAACAATTTTGTTAAAAAAACTCTGCCCTGGGAGTCAGAAGGTCTTCATTTAGAAGAACTATGACGCCTCATGATGAAAGCCGAGTTCCTTCGGAAGTCACGAGGTCGATGCCCCTTCTGACAACCAGAGCAACCATTTATTTAGGTACATGGAATACTCGTACAATGTGGGAGACCGAGAGAGTCTTACAAATTGCTGCAGAAATGAGGAGATACAGCCTTCTTGTGGCCAGATGGTTGTTTATGAAATTGAGAGGATGAAAAGTGAATGTCCGACGCTTTAATTGGGTTAATGGATATGGAGAATACATTTAGAGGAGTTGGAAAAGCCTCATTCTAAACCAATGGTGCACATGGGCTCCACGATCCTGAAGGAACAAATGGTGTATGAACCAATTGTTGATCACTTGCTACTATGGGACTGCATCTCTTTACGTTGTTCCACTACTTTGTGGATCAGACCTTTAGGTCAAAGGCTTTGTGGTGTGAGCCTTAAGAATACCACCTGTTTCGCTTTGGGTACCCAGATAATATCACAGCTCACATACAAATCAAGTGACTTGTATAGCGCATATGTATTCGATGCCCCTTTGTACAAATATATTTATCTGTTCAAATAAATAAATAAATAAAAATGTAAATTATGCTGTGAGATCTGAACAACTTAGGTTCGAATTCTGAAGGAGTGCAGAATATAGAAAAGTTTTACACTAGAACAAAAGAGCTATCCAAGGAAACAATAATTATTACGTATGCTAATGACGTTATATAGGTTAAGTCTTTGGAATACACCAATCTTTGGCATTATTATTATTATTCTTTTTGCATACCTTACTTCTATATGGTTTCAGATTATTTAATAATTACTAGTTTCCCCAAGACAACTTATTCTGATATTTTTATATTTGAGATACTACTGAAATCCACGGGTCAATGGATAGCCTCTTTCATTCTTGTATGAATTCTTGAAGTCATGGTTCATCAGCTAATGGCTTGAGTATGGTTCATGGATTCGTAATAAGATTGTGATTATGCATTGTAGGTCAGTCTCGTGTTGGAATAAAGCACCTATTCAGTCACTTCTGGTTTTCGATACAGCCTCAATTGTAAAGAATTCGTACCGAAGATCACCTTCAGAATATAATTTAATATAAATATTTAGCTTTTATTTTACTGATGTCAGGAAATCTCTTAACTACAAATTGTATTTTAATCCATTTGTTTATTGTTGTTAGTGGTTAGGACCGATTTAAGTTCCCCAGTGGGGTGTAATGTCATACAAACGTTAATGTATAGAGGTTCTAACGTCATGTGATATTCAGTTTCAACGTTTATTTTATAGTGTTTCATAAGGTGGATAGTGTCAACAACAAACATTTACGCATTTACAACTGATTAATCAGTGGGTGGTGATCGATGTTATGTGTATCAGACCTTTCTTAGTGCAGATCGAATCATGTAGTCCAATTTGCAATGTGGCCGCTAGTCTAGGTGGCTCAACATTGCGTATACTATGTTGAGATAAGTTCGTAGGTGGAGGTGGTCAACAGGAAACTTTAGACCTAGGTTTCGTGCTACTTGGCACTCGTCAGTAAGGCGTACCTGTAATCTTGAGGGAACTGATACTGTAGTGAACAAAAACACCAGTGGGGACAATCGAATGTATTTAACACAAGATTACAGGAATTGGTAATAAAATCGAACAATCATAAAGTAAATGCTTAAATGCAAAATGTTCATCAGTTGTCCCAAAATGACTCAGACTTCATTGTTCTTGCATTTTCATACAAATTGCATCCTGTTTTCATCCTTTACTGTTCGATCCTCTTGTCTCTCTGCTGCCAGACCTTCTGTTCACAACTAACATCATATACTACTTATGTCAATATAAGTAGCACACACCACAATACTACCTGACGCATCCGATCCCATTTATTAAAAGAATATAAATAATGATTCCCTCAAAAATACCTCCCCCGCTCAAAATTGATCATCTTCAATTATTCATTTCGTCCTAGATTCGAATCCCATGGGCGGGATCGTGGATGCGCACTGCTGAGGAGTTTCATACTAGAATGAAACGGTCGTCCAGTGCCTCCAGGTTTTCCAAGGTCGTCTAGCATCAATTGACTCATGATTTCAATCAGTGAAAATTACTAAAATCTCCACAAAACCCTCTTTTGATAAACATATTCTTTGAGTATTTGGAAAATATGTAACTCAAACGTTTAAATAAGCTCTAATATTTAAATGTACATACTAATCATTAGAATGCTGCGGAAAATTTTAGATCTTTGGTAGTTGGTTTCGGTATTGCTTAGTCCTCTGAGCTGAATGGTTTAACTGTGGAGCATCAATTCTCATTATGGACAATATCCCTATACCCTACTTCATGGTTATTACACAAGAGTTAATTCAGTTTATTCTCGTGTCCATGTTCATGATTGATTGCCCATATTCGTCTTTGTTCATAACAATAATTGTGAAAATAAAATTTTACTAAACATAATAAAAATGAGGTAAAATAAGTAAAGAAGGAACTAATAATAATACGGTTTCACTGGTTGAAATCATGAGTCAACTGAAGCTAGGTCACCATGGGAAACCTGGGAGCACTGGACGGCCGTTTCGTCCCAGTATTGGACTCCTCAGCAGTGCACATCCACGATCCTGCACCCCGCGAGGTTTAAACCTAGGACCTACCAGTCTCGTACCAGGCGCTTAACCAACTAGACCACTGAGCCGGCATCCAGTGGTGTTAATGTCTAACTTCAAACAATCCACGAAGTTGCGCCACCGTACACCATTGTCTTTAGTGAGTTCCTATCTCACAACAGACCTGGTTGAACTTCACTGGTAACGACTTCTCACTAGAACTCCAGGAGTGTCTCCTGAAGTCAGTCACTAGTGAGCAGGTGATTGTTATTATAAGAATGGATTTTGTGGAGATTTTTAGAAATTTCACTGGTTGAAATCATGAGTCAATTGAAGCTAGACCACCATGGAAAACCTGGAAGCACTGGACCTCCGTTTCATCCTAGTATGGGACTCCTCAGCAGTGCGCAGAGTTTGTTAGTGAATAACGGAATTAATTACAACCAGCGAAATTTCTAAAAATCTCCACAAAACCCATTCTGATAATAATAATACGGTTGTTGAGAATTCAATTACTCATTATGAAGGTAGATACAGAATTATAATTGAGAAGAAAAGGTTCAGTATGACAAGATAAAATGTTGAAATTTAGAGGAATTGTCGTCAAGAGCATCATAGGGATAGGAACAAATCAATTGTTGGGGGTGGGATAAGACGTCTGCTGAATTGAAAGTAGAAGGGAAGCAGATGGCTGTGAGAAAGAAAAAAAAGAGAAAAAGGATTGTGAGAGATTAAGACCACGGTGGAACATGAGGTTGTACTAATTTTTTCTAGACACATAGTTCTGATTTTTCCAAGTAGTTAGCACTTGCTTCAGCAATGCTAAGAGGATGGAATATAACTACCTTTGTCAACCTCCTATTTACTTTGTAAATGATTTTGAATGCATATTTCTTTTTAATCTAACGACTTGTGTTTGAGCTTCATACAAACCTATTTCAACCTCTTTACAGCCAAGCCGAGTAGTGTCCTTGAATTAACTCACTAATTGATAGAACATTTGGTACTACGTCTGTAATGAGAAAAAGTAAGCTAATAATATGTTATCAATGCAGTAATGCCTTATTAACAGATTCGCAAAGACAAGGAATCGGCAGGCGATTATCTTCAAATATCTAATATGAAAAAAACATAGTCCATGTGGTGTCTAGTCACTTAGATTAGTGGACGGGTTGTACCTTAATCGACAGAATACGATCAATACTAAAGGATTGGATAATCATTGTATTGATTACTGCTCAGTGATCAATAAATATGAATATCTCAGCTCTACAGTTGGTTGTTCATGGCACGAACAGCTTAGTAATAGTATTTGAAGCTAAGAGTCTAGGTATCTCAGGTTCGATTGTACACATTAATAAGAAATACCCAGAGTTATAAAAAATTACGTGCCGTGTGTCATGTTGAGCATAGTCCATGTTCATTTAATGCAAGAATATTGAATCATGAACAATCATCAAACTCAAATAAATTAATGTTTTAACGGATAAGGACCAAACACATGCCACAAATCCATGAAGTCACTGACAAGTAGACTGAGCCATGTTGGTAGGTGTAAACCCATCTGATTGGGATCCGCGGGGTGATATCAGCCGATGGTTAGAGACGTTGAATGACATGGCTCAAAATCATTTGCATCGGTACAGGTGAATCCGCTCTTTGTGTTCTCCTGAATTCTAATCTCAATTATTTATATTCCATTTTTTCTCTTCCCAAACTTATTTCCCTGTACTATACTACTTGAACAGCATCTACAAATCCTAATCTTTCCGACTACTTCTTATACTTTTACTACCTTTACCACTACGGGATTTGAATCGACAATTGTATCTCTGTGCTAATGTAGTATGGCAACTTGAACTAATGTACATACGTACGTACGAAGTTCTACGTTGATG